GGTTTCACTGGACTTGGTGAGTTCCTCTTCTTGACATCAAGGTTTGTCGTTCATTTCCCGATGGTGCGGTAAATATGTGTCCGCGAAGGTTTGAAAGATGTCATATGTGTTTCCTACAACCTTCTTTTTTTTTTATACTTCCTTGAAACCTGAAACTCTTGGTGACGCAGTAGTATCAAAAGAATCATGTATGGCGCATGTTCTACCGGCGGTGATCTCCAAGCGTGGAGCCCAAGATTATGTTAGCAACTTCATGCCTTGCCCGTTCCTGGTGATGGATCTCTCCCCGCATCCTTGATGTGGCTCTTGGTGGTCGTCCTATGTCCTAGTCAGGAACTGCCAACAATTGCTTTGTTCTAGAAGATGGCCATGAGATGGGGCATCTGGAGTATTCCCCCGCATCACCCACCCCAAAACATCATGTACATTGTACCAAACTTCGGCATCCGTGCTTGCTGCAAGCGCCTGTCCCAGAGAACCCACTGTTGAGATCCATCTCTTGGTAAGGCTCGGTGAGGCTTGAGGTGAAACTCGGTGAGGTTGTGAGTGGTCCACAAAGGCACGTGACCATATTGAGTCGACGTCGGCGCAACGTAACGCCGACACCCGAGGCTCCGCGAGCTACGGCATCCCAAAATTTGCGAATGCGTGGGACGAGCTGAATAGCGAATAGCCTCGTCTAATCCCCATGACAGGCACGATAATTTCAATGGCAGCTCCTAATACGATACGGCCATTGGCCGGTCGATTTATCCAGGCCTCATCATCAAAGGTCTCCGCCAGCACATCTCGAGTCGCCTACTTCTCCACGACCGCACCACAATGCAAACGAAAGACGAAAGACAACAACCCCAAGCGAGGTGTGAGTAGTCTGTACAGATCAGGACCTCGCGAGCCTCTGTCTATGTCAAACATTCCGCTACCGAAGCCGCGACAGTTCAAGCCCAGGATCAAGGTTGACCCTGATCATGGTCTGTGGGGATTCTTCCCAGCACAAGGAAAGGCATTGGCAACACCCAAAGAGACTGAGGAGCATGGACGTGCATGGTCGGTTGAGGAGCTGCGAAAGAAGTCGTGGGAAGACCTACACTCTTTGTGGTGGGTGTGTTGCCGAGAGAGGAACATGCTGTCTACATCGAGACAAGAGCTCATTCGATCCAAGATGGGATTCGGTGAGCGAGAGATTGATACTCGAGATGAGGAGGTAAGATATTCCAATGTTATGTAACATGCGGGAAGCTGACTTTTAAAACAGGTCTTGAAGACACAGCGAGCCATCAAGCACGTCTTGACGGAGCGATATTACACATGGCAAGACGCCGTTGGTGTCGCCATGAGCGACCCCGAGATCAACTTTGAGGGCGGAGAAGGCCAAGTCTACACACCATCTGCATATGAAGATGAGGTTGATGATGCTGAGTGGACACAACCAGAGGCAGAGTCAGAGGCGGCCAAGCAGATTGACCCTATTGCCACAGAAGCACAGGAGGCCAAGATTGAGAAGGAGTTGAAGAAGCAATAAAAACCTGATACAGGGGAGACGACGTCATGTACTGTTTGAGTGAGATAGGAGAGGCGGTGGTGGTTTGTGATGCCTGATTAGAGACAGGTTGACATATTCGTCGTGTACATCTAGGATATGTAAGATACAGTAGACGACACAAACATGTATATGCAAGCACATGAGCTCTAGGAGCTGTCAACATGAATACATATGATGAATCAAGATCTGTTGCAGCAAGCGTCGTAGATTACAAACTCAAGGCGTAATGACAATCTTGCGTGTAGTAGAGCTGTAGTCATATTAGACTCTTTGACTTCGTATCCCAACACAGTAATGAGCTTGGATGCCGTATAAGTCAAGCTCTTGTTACCTCATGAAAGGGGTCGCTCCACCAAGATGAGTAGAAACGCAGATGTAACAATATGGAGGTCAACAGTTGGGGCAAAGAAAGGAGATACGACCGAGAGACCCTGTCTTCAATATACTAATAGCAATAAACCATTGATGATACTGGGGTCGTGGCTGGGGCTTTTATATTGATCTGGCTGCTAAGCTAAATTTGATAATGAAGCGGACCGTCGTGGAAGGGGAATTAGGGGGTGACGGGTTATCCAACAGCAGTAAAACTTGTTGTATGTCTTCATCTTAATGTAATTTGATCCTGTAGGCGAGAATATGTGAGATTAGAATGGCATGAATTGGGTAAGACGTTAGTTGTTAGAGGCGTCAACCATATCACACTCACTCTCACTCACCGAATGGCCCAGACATAAAAGGTCCCCACACTGAAGCTAGGCTGTAGTTGTAGCTAAGGTAAAAGGTAAATGGGACTGACCCCGCCACTAAGCAACGGCCAACTGCACCGCACCTCCCCTCGAGCTTCCCTCCTCGCTTCGCTTCCATTTTATCCTATTCCGCCTCTCTCTCTTCTACTCCTTATCTCTCTATCACTCTACCTAAAGGTTCATCGATTATCAACACCAGAAAATAGCCATCATGGATGAGATTGCTCCTGAATACGACGTCATCGTGCTGGGCACTGGTACGTTCTTGTTCCCCTCCTCGCCTGTTTCTGCCACAAGGCGGATCCCCGCATCAGAGAACTTTGGCTTGATGCTGCCGATTTATTGTATTTCCAAGCGGATGCTGACTGTATCTAGGATTGACCGAGTGTATTCTTTCTGGGTAAGACAAACTGCATCAATTTTGACCGCTTTGTCGTGTCGCAAAGGCGTTACAGACCTGCGCAAGCTGCAAGGCGGTATAGCACATGTAAAGGCGGTGATGGCTGATTGTGCTTTGATAGTGTTCTGAGTGTCAAAGGCAAGAAGGTCCTTCACATCGACCGCAATGACCACTATGGCGGGTAAGTCTAGATCTAATACCAATTACTTTCCAATACGCAAAAAAGCTAACTGTTTCCCAGTGAGGCAGCTTCCGTGAACCTCGAGACTGTACGCAACCCTTATCCAAACCTCCCGATCTACAACTTTCAAGACCGACCTCTAACACTAGGATACAGCTTTTTAAGAAGTACGGTAACTTCCGCGAAGGCGAGGAGCCCTGGAAACAATATGGTCGCCTCAACGACTGGAACATCGACCTTGTTCCCAAGTTCCTCATGTCCTCGGGCGAATTGACCAACATTCTCGTCTCTACCGATGTCACACGATACCTCGAGTTTAAGCAAGTTGCTGGCAGCTACGTCCAGCAGGGTACCTCCAACAAGGCTACCGTTGCCAAGGTGCCCTCTGATGCCGCCGAGGCTCTGCGATCTCCTCTCATGGGTATCTTCGAGAAGCGACGCATGAAGTCCTTCATTGAGTGGGTTGGCACTTTCGATCCCAAGGACCCCGCGACACACAAGGGTACGTGTTCTAAAGAAATATGGGAGAAAGAAAATATTACGAAATCAGGGCAATTTGCTGACCATAACCCCCTGTCTAGGCCTGGACATCAACAAGTGCACCATGAAGGACGTCTATGACAAGTTTGGCCTCGAGGCCACCACAAAGGACTTCATTGGTCACGCCATGGCTCTCTACCTCACCGACGACTACATTACCACCCCTGGCCAAGCTCCCGAGGCCATCCAGCGAATCCGCCTGTACGGTAACTCTGTTGCTCGATACGGAAAGTCTCCTTATATCTACCCTCTCTACGGTCTTGGCGAGCTTCCTCAGGGGTTCGCCCGCCTGTCTGCCATCTATGGTGGCACTTACATGCTCAACACCAATATCGACGAGCTTCAGTATGATGGTGAGAAGGCTGTTGGCATCAAGGCCACCATGACTGGTGTTGAGGAGATGAAGTTCGAGACCAAGGCCAAAATGATCCTGGGTGACCCCTCTTACTTTCCCAACAAGGCCAAGGTTGTCGGCCACGTCCTCCGAGCTATTTGCATCCTGAAGCACCCTCTCGCTGGTACCAACGATGCCGATTCCGCCCAGCTCATTATCCCCCAGTCTCAAGTTGGCCGAAAGAACGGTAATAGCACCGATTCCAGCGTAAATGCACAGCTGCTGACATTATTCACAGACATCTACATCGCCTGCGTTTCCTCCGCCCACAACGTCTGCCCTAAGGGCTACTGGATCGCCATTGTCTCGACTATTGCTGAGACATCAGCCAACCACCATGTCGAGCTCCAGGCTGGTCTCGACCGCCTTGGCAAGATTGAGGAGCAGTTCATGGTACGTTATTCGAGTTGAAATATGAAGGCATACGCTAACAATTGCTAGGGTCCCCCCATTCCCATCTACGAGCCTCTTGAGGATGGTACCAAGGACAACATCTTCATCTCCAAGAGCTACGATGCCACCAGCCACTTCGAGACCACCACCGACGACGTCAAGGACATCTACCGACGCGCCACCGGTGAGGAGCTTAAGGTTGAGGGTTTGAGGGAAGGTATCCAGGTTGCCGAGGAGCAGTAAAAATCTCAGCGACCTTCCTAGTAAATAGGATAAAAGAGTAACAAGGCCACACCACTGTAACAGAGCCGGCAGGGTAGGAGGATTGTTTTGCTTTTTCAGAAGATTGGCCAATACGATGGTGCGTCTTGGGCACAATCTCATTATACCTCTTTCGATAGCATCTCGCACGACAACTCAAATGAATATTGTTGAACTGTATACACAAATATTTGGGTGGATAATATCAAATTTGATTGAAACTTTTATATGCTTCATAAATCATGATCTGTTAAAAGAGAGAAAAGTTTGGCAGCCCCTTTTCTAGTACTTCTCAAGAAGGCGCCGTGATATCTACTATCTAGCTGAACTCGGACAGAGCTTCTTCATCCCAAGCAACAACACGACACGCAAGCTATTTTCTTCTTGTCAAGCACGTACGTACGCAGCGAAGGAATCGCAATCCATTTTCCTATGCGCCCAAACTCCCAGGCAAACCCACAGCCCGCGAACCCGCGAAAATATGCCGGAAAAGAGAGAAAGACAACCAAATGTGGAAGAAAGGGAAGCCTGGTGCTGGCTCTCTATCTGCGGTTTGTCTTGCCCATACCACGCTTTCCGACGACCTGGAAGGAATATGTTAGCAACGGTTCTGAGACACATCTGGATGAGAATAAAACTTACCAAGTGCTTGGTGATGGAGGCGGTCGTGTGTCGATCGCCCTCTCCCTGTCGGGCCATGCGGTTCATGCGCTTCTGATTGAGCCTGGCGATACGATCGGCCTTGGATCGAGTAGCCTCGTCTGTGACACCATCGTCGCGGCGGCTGGTTGTAGGAGCACGGCTTCGAGGTCGGCTCATAGAGCGGAGACGTTCGCGAGGGGTGCTGCTGCGACCACCATCGACATCCATGGCATCGGGGTCCTCGGTGCCCATGCGAGACGTGGAACGGCCACGAGGACGGGACTTTGAGCGAGCACGCTCGGCAATATCGGTGGTGTCGACACCGAGCTGGTCGAGGGCATCCTCGAACTCGGAGAGGGGCTTCTTCATCTGCTTGCGGGGAATGATGGCCTGGTTCTTGAGACGCTTCTTCATGCGGGCCTCGTTGCGGATGAGCTGTTGCTTCTCGCGGATGAGCTCGGCCTTGCGCATGACCTCAGCCTCCTCATCATCCTCGATATCCTCGTCAGACTCGTAGAAGCCCTCAGCCTCGAGCTTCTCCTCCTCTTCCTCCAGAGCCTGAAGCTTAGCCTCAATATCGGGATCGACAAAGTCGTAGACGTTCTTGCCATCGTAGATCTCGGGAATCTTGTCGTACTTCCACTCGGGGTTGGCGAGCATGTAGTCGGCCTTCATGTCGACGTTGAAGACACCAGCACCACCGTTCTCCTCCTCCTCATCACGAGCGAGTCTTCGGCGCTCGGGGTCGGTCTTGTCATACTTCTTGCGGTCCTTGACACCCTCGGGGATGAAAGTCTCAAGAGTCTGACCACCCATGGGCTGAGCAACGTGAATACGGGACATGACATCAGCCAGACGGCCACCGATGTTTCCGCTGCTGTTGGTACCAGCCTTGAGCTTCTGGTTAACACGCTCAGCGATCAATCGCTCGCAAGCAGCGTTTTTGACCTCCTGAACGCCCTCCTGGGTGTTGCAAGACAATTGAAGGAGCTCGACCTCACCAGACTTGAGGATTCCTTGGAGCTCAGCCTGCACCTCAGGCTCGAGGTCCTCAGGTCGAGTAACATCAATCTTGTTGATAACAACGAAGACAAGCTTGTTGGAGAACAGAGGCTTGATACTCTTGAAAAGAGCAATCTGTGCGCTAACTGTGTAACCACACTGCTCTGAAAGATCCATAAAGTACATAATGGCGGATCTCAAATGGGCAATGGCGGTAATACTCTGCATCTCAATGGTGTTCATCTCCTCCAGAGGGTGATCCAAAATACCGGGGGTATCGATGGCCTGGAAGCGGAGATACTTGTAGTCGAAGTGACCGACAAACAGACTCTTTGTGGTGAAAGCATAGGGCTGAACGTCGACATCGGCGCGAGTAATGCTCTTGAGGAAACTAGACTTTCCCACGTTGGGGTAACCGCAGATAAGCAGTGTTCGAGTGTTGGGGTCGATCGAAGGCAGACGACCGAGATGCTGGCGGACCTGATCGAGGTACATAAGAGGGTCCTTAAGTCGCTTAATGAGGGTGGCCATGCGACCAAGAGCGGCCCTCTTAAGCTGCTTGCACTGGAACAGAGACTGGCCGTACTTGAGGAGACGGACATAATCGCGGGAGATGGTCTCAATCAGATGCTTGGCGGTGGACATCTGTCCTAGGGCGATTCTGAAATGGTCGGCATCGTAGAGGGTGTTGAGGAGATCCTTGTGGAAAGGGTGGATGTCCTGGAGACGAGGGAAACTCTCGAGGATGGCGCCGAACTTCTCTGAGAAGGTCTCCTGTGTGAACTTGACCTTTCGAGTGTAGAAAGCTGTTGAAGTATATGTTAGTGATCTGTTGCGATCCCGGTTGTGGTGAGAGTAAAGTCACAAACCTCGAATACGGCTGATCTTGAAACCGGCGCGAATCTGCGTTGGCAGCTTGCGCTGGGTCCGGCTCAGAACAATATCCAGAAACTCCTGCTGAGTAGGCACCGGGGGGATGTCCTTCCAGGTCGTCTTCATCTTGGGCGATCTGGTATTTTTGGAGTTGGAATTGTTTTGGGGGGGGTTATTTAAAAAAAAGGTTGAGACGGACGGAGAGAGAAAGTGTCGCTCGTCGCTCGAAGAAGAGGTATCAGAGATGGCAAAATTCAGTTGGATCGAATATTTTTTCTTAGTGGGTCGTGGCGGTCAGTCTGATTTCTTATCGATAAGGAAGAAGTCACTTTTGTGTGGAAGGACTCAGTAGTGGTATAATTGAGCAGTGATGTTAGTCTGGAAGTGTGGAATACTGTTTCTACAGAGTTATTATATCCTCAAGTGAGTGTTTAGTGAGAAGAATTCCTATTATGTAGAATTCAAATACCACATGTTGATATACTCGTTCCCATATTCTCTCTGCTAACCGAACTTTTTTACGGTACTTCTTTATCTGCATCTCCCCCACCTCAACCCCGCCGCCATACATTGAACCACCAGAAGGGTCCAAGGCCGGCTCCGGGCTCAACACCACTGACAGACCTGCAAGAGGGGATCGCAAACTTTGCTTTAGAAATATTCACTTTCATTTATGTACCCTTCCAACTTCTTATAGTTCCCTTGTATCGCCCCAATCAACCACATAAATAATCATGTCTTCTCAACTCGCTCCCTACAAGCAAGAATTCTTGCAGGCCGCCATCGCTGGCGAGATCCTCAAGTTTGGCAGCTTCGAGCTCAAGTCAAAGCGCATCTCACCCTACTTCTTCAACGCCGGCCTCTTTCACACTGCCCGTCTCGCCGGCGCTATTGCTACCGCTTTCGCCAAGTCTATCTCTGAGGCTCAGCAAGAGACCGGTCTTGACTTCGACATCATCTTTGGTCCCGCTTACAAGGGCATCCCTCTTGCTTCTTCCATCGCTGTCAAGCTCGGCGAGATCGCCCCGGAGAACCTCGACCGTGTTTCTTACTCTTTCGATCGCAAGGAGGCTAAGGACCATGGTGAGGGCGGTAACATCGTTGGTGCGCCTTTGAAGGGGAAAAAGATCCTCATCGTTGACGATGTCATCACTGCGGGAACTGCCAAGCGGGAGGCTATTGACAAGATTCGAAAGGAGGGTGGTATCGTTGTTGGTATTGTCGTTGCCCTCGACCGCATGGAGAAGCTCCCTGCTACCGATGGCGATGAGTCCAAGTCTGGCCCCAGTGCCATTGGTGAGTTGCGAAAGGAGTACGGCATCCCTATCTTCGCTATCCTGACTCTCGATGATATCATTGCTGGTATGAAGAGCTTTGCTTCAGAGGACGACATCAAGCGAACTGAGGAGTACCGTCTCAAGTACAAGGCTAGCGACTAAATATGGAAAAACTGGTGTTGAAGGGATGAGGTTATGATATCAAAGGGTCACAAAATAGACGGAATGGAAATTAAATAAATAAAAAATGAAATTGAACACGCAAATGCGGTTTTTATAGACCAGCTATCTCATTATTTTCGATGATGCGGCTACTCTGGTGATATCTTGGTAATGTGAAGTGTAATGAAGCAACAGGTGCTTCTTGAGAGGAGACTCATTGAACAACTGCCAAAAATTCTGGCAACAAGCCTGTAAAAATCTATGATGGCGATTTCTTCGCCTTGGTTGTTGGAGAATCATCTTCCTTATTCCTCCGTGTAGGCTCCTCCTTGGTCTTTCTCTTAGGACCACGGAGTTCAAGCACCTAGCCATATGTCAGTGGCTTTCAGTTTATGCCATAGAGGTATTACTTACCATGGCATGCCAGCCTTGACCAGCAAGGGCTTCTGGACTTGGCCCAAGGTCTTTGAATCCAAAGCACTTGTAGAACTGGATTGCGTACTTTGACATGTTAATTCAACACAGGTTTCCAAGGTGTTGGGTGTAGTTGCTTACCGGTTGGCAAATTATGGCAACTCGATCAGCCATGCCAGACGCATTCATAAGCTCGAGATATGACTTCATTACTGTTTTCCCAACGCCAACTCCCTGGACCTCTGGGCACACGATGAACGAATGGAGACAGATTGTTCTCCCTGAAGATTGATGGCCTAGAGGTGAGCCTTTGCTTGCTTTTGAGTCTCTCCAGTTCTCGGGCATAGCCATATCTGCATCAGTTACGACTGGGTGTGTTCCAAGAGTAGCAAGGACATGCGCAAACATGACATGTTTGGCCCCATCACATCGTCCTGACTCAACAGGCCGACTGTGTTGCATGGTTGTGAGAGAGATCTTTTTTACATCGCTTGGCCTCACGGTGTTGAACAGGCCGTAGCAGACTCCAGATTTCCGAATACGATATTCGATCTGTCTTGCTAGTTAGCAAATCTGAGCTGAGCCCGTGGTCCTATTGTCCTCCAAACAACGGATTCGTACTCAAATATCATGACTGACCTTTTCACGTGTTGATCTATACCTCGCTTCTGAAAGTGCGACATTTTCAAGGGTTACGCATGTGTCGATATCGTTCTCGGTCAGGGGCGAGAGCATAGGAGCCCAGTGAAAAGGAATGACCTTCTTTAGAAGGCCAGCTTCTGAGTTCCTCTTCTGGGTCCTCATTTGACAGAAATTCCTTTTCGAATTGACCATGTCCTCATCTGCGTCTCCGTCGTCGATGGCGCCGTCAGACTCGTCGTTCTCTATGTCTTCGCACACGCCGCCAGAGAAGATCATATCTCTGGCGGCAGAAGCGAATTCATTGTTCTTCTTCTTTTCCATGCTTCCCATGAGGGTTTGAGTTTCGGTTGCCACGTTGACAGTCGAGCCTTTGAAGGGGCCTTGAGCCGGTGATGGTTACTAGAGGTACTACCTCAGTATAAGTCGGTCGTCAGAATAAAGCTGCAGGTGAGATTTGTGGGCCTTTTTGGAGTAGTGAAAGCTGTCGCAGAAGATCTTTCTGTTTCGTCGATAGTGCTTGTGTTGAGATTATATTGCGAAGTCGAAGTTGTCTCTTGATGATATGATAATGATGCGATGAGAGGAATTAAAGCTCACCCGTGCACATTGAGCGTCGGTATGAGGCACAGGCGTCTTCAGGTGTGAAGCGTTGAGGAGGTTTGTACCTCGTTTGGCTCAAAATCGGGTGAGTTTTTGGTTACTGAATCACACAGAGAGACTCAGACTCGTTTGACAGTGAATGAAACGTCATGGGACGACGGGTTTAGTTATCCTGTTTGCCCATTCAACTTCTGGTGGACCCACGAATGCCGAGCGATCGGATGATGCAGTGAGGCCGGCGCCGGAATGGGGCCAGTTTCAATCGGTGGGTATAGGTGACAATGGCTTCAGGGAGTTGTGACAGTTGGTTCCAGAGCTTGTGACAGTGCTGTGCAACTGTTAAATTAGGTCGCGAATAGTGAAAATGGTGTTGAACTGACCCTGAGAAACTGTTTTTTCCCAACTTTACCATTCTCGTCAGGATGGGTTCATGAGCGGGGAGAGCTTGTTCCGTCTCCATCGCCAGCGGTAGCTTGGGTCCGGCACATGACATATCAAAGTCGCGTGATCTCAACAAAGGAGAGCAAACAGAATAGGAAATCACGGCAAATTGCAGATGAAATTGGGTCAAATAGCAATTAATACAATAAGTATTGGGAAGGAGATTATGAACGTGGTGATGGCGGGAAAATGCCATATCAAACGTCTAGGGTAATCTGAGTACCAAAACCAACACCCAACAATTATGGTGGACAAGGTTGCTGTTAAGCTTTTGACAGACTCACCAATATGTTGATCATTATTGATATTGTGTTATCTCGGGATTTTAACGATAGTGAGATAACAAGAGTACAAAACCATGGCGGCCAAGAATACTGTACCTTATCTGAAATGGATGAATATAGTTTCCAAATTCACCTCAAAGTCAATCAGTTCATGATAACCATGATGAAACCTTTCTACCAGCCCTAACAGTAAAAAAGCCTGCTTGGCCCAGACAACGGGAGACCGGAACAGCAAGCCTATACTGTAGTATGCATACCCTAGGTACTCAAACCAAGGGTGCCTTTCTGTGCCTCCAGGAAGCAGTCCTGCAGGAGATCATTCTGTGCCTCCCCGGAACGACCTCCCTGTTGCTGTAACCAAGACGATCAGCAGTTGGGGGGGTCCCTGAAACGGCAGCAGCCGCATGCAATCCCGGGTTGCTTTATCCTGGTATGCCACGAAATCTCGAAAGTACATCCCACGTTCCCTCCCCAGTGAGGCCCTCAATATCACAGGACCGGTTGAGATTATTTATGTATGTAGACCAAGGGTCTATGCAAGATGCCTTCTTTGGAACAAAGTCGTTGCATTCCGCCCGATATGGTTACCAGTGCTGGATCTGCGAGGACAAGGAGCCTGGGCGTAATGCTGTACATACAGTAGCATCTGTATGGATATGTCACCCCCATGGAGCAAGAAAACTGCAGACATTAAATCAGAGTATCAGAAAGGATTGGTCTAATGCCTCCTACATTTACACTAAACTTACCTGAGTCCTTTTGTCATTTAGGATAGACGTGTTATATTTTCTTGCCTCCCCTAGGTCACTACTCCATGCCCCATAGAGCGCTCTGTCCTCTTTGCCTGGCTGCATCAAGAGCACTCATTCGTCATCACCAATGGCGCCTGGTTCTCCGCAATCATGTCCGAACCGAACTGTAGTAAGCATCCATAGGCTTCCGTCGGCTTCCAGCAGTTGCGTGGTCCTTGATTGTGAGCGTGCGTACGTACAGTTGTGCCTAGCGGTACATGAGGGATACAATGCAAGCCCGCTGACGGAGCAAACAGGAAATGTCTGGTCAGAAGGATTGAGATGGGGGTTTTGAGGTAACGGCAAGAGAAACGTGAATATCCATGTCAAGATTGCTCTTAATATATGGAACTTGGTTGGTTGATGACCTTCTTGGCCCGAGCTGACGGTAGGGCAGAATAGAGGGGTGCAATATGATGTAAGTCGATAATTCAGTGTACTGGTACAGGTACGATGAACCGCAAAGCAACTGTATACCTGTGTCATCACCCTGTATTTTCCCTTACTTGAGGTAATCTAGAAAAAATTCATGTTCTCATGACAATATATGAAACCAGTGTAAGAAGTCGAATGATCCCTTATAATTCTTGCGGTTGTCCGGAGCTACAGTTGTTATTTATTAAGCATCAAGCGGCATAACTACCCCTCCGGCGGAAGCGGCAGCGGCAGCGGCCCCTCCAATAGCTCCAACGTTAGCCAGTAGCTTGCTTTGAACTTTATGTGTAACTGCCTGCACCAGCCTGCACCTGCATCTATCTCCATCTTCATCTGTTCCTTTCTCTCCGATCTTTTTTACACCAACCAACCTCGTGCACTAAATTCACGATAATTTTCACTTCAGTCTTCTTCAACTTATTGCTTACCACATCAACTTGCTTTTCTTAGGCACTTTGGGCTCCTATTTTTGAAGATCCCAAGTGGGTACCTTACCTCAGGAGCTGTTACAGTCTTCTGTTTAGGTAGCTAGCTGTCTGGGCTTTCTTTTCTTAGCCACCCTCGTGGCCACGCCTACTCCTCTCTTCTCACGACCAGCCACTTTCTTGAGAGCCCTCGACGACATTCTTTCGTCCTCTCTGGCCTAAACTCAACATTCAAACATACAAAAGAGTAATACCAGACGAACAACAACAAACACCACAATGTTAGTCCACTGCCCGGACATATTTACGTCATCTTCGGCTATTGGATGCTAACTGACAACAGGCGCATCACCCTTAACATATTCAACCCCCAAGCTGGGGAGCAGGACAGCCTGCTCACTCTCGAGATCTTTCCCGACATGACACTCGCTACCCTTCGCGAGTCTATTCAGGCAGAATCGTCCATTCCTCCAACCTCACAACACATCTACCACAACGGCCGCTTAATTTCGGATGATACCCAGACCATGGAGCAGCTGCAGATTGTGGACGGAGAGATGTTGGCCGTACACGTCAGAGACATGCGAGGAAGCACTGGTGTGCCCGAACAAGCTCGACGCCCTCAGCCTAGGAGACCGGCCCAAAACGAGCAGGACCCTGAGCTCATCCGCCTTCAGATTCTTGGCCAGCCTGCTCTGAGACAACAGCTCCAGTCACAACACCCTGAACTGGCTGCTGCAGTTGACAACCCTGCTCGTTTTGCACAAATCTTCCATGACAGCCAGAACCGGGAGCAACGCGAGCGCCAGGAACGACAACGGGAGATTGAGAGACTGAATGATGACCCTTTCAACGTTGAGAACCAGAGAAAGATTGAGGAGATGATTCGACAGGAGCGAGTTATGGAGAACTTGCAAAACGCTATGGAACACAACCCAGAGGGTAAGTTTTTGAAATGACAACTATTAACCCCAGATATTGACACCATTCGAACCTAGTTTTCGGAAGAGTTCACATGCTCTACGTTGATGTGGAGGTCAATGGTCACCCAGTCAAGGCGTTTGTTGACTCCGGTGCTCAAGCCACTATCATGTCTCCCTCATGTGCTGAGGCTTGTGGCATAATGAGACTCATTGATACTCGATTTGCTGGTGTAGCTCACGGTGTCGGAACAGCAAGAATTATTGGCCGTGTTCATTCTGCCCAGATCAAGATCGGGAACCTGTTCCTCCCCTGCAGCTTCACTGTCATGGAGGGCCGATCGGTTGACCTGTTGCTTGGTCTCGACATGTTGAAACGACACCAGGCCACTATCGATTTGGCTAGAGACAAGCTCATCATTCAAGGCGAAATGATTCCCTTTTTAGGAGAGGCTGAGATCCCCAAGGCGGAAGAGGAGGCGGCTGCACAGGAGCCAACTTTGCCTGGTCCCGATGGCACAGCAATCGGACAACGTACCGGAGCCGTTGTGCCTCCTGGCCAGCAGCAGCAGCAGCAGATCCCTGCCAGACCCCAAGCCGCACAGTCTGCACCGCCCCCTACTGCAGCTGCAGCTCCCGCCCCCTCCGCACCCCAGGCGCCTCCTGCTGCACAGTCTGCTCCGAGAACAACAAACATCTCGCCACAAGCTATCGAAAGCCTTATCTCGATGGGTGCCACTCGGGAGCAAGCTATTCAGGCCCTTCAGGCCGCAGAGGGCGACCCGGATGTTGCTGCTGGGTTGATTTTCTTCTAGTGGCGTGAACACTACCTTACACTGGACGGTGACAGGGCAAGATGAAAAATGATTTAACATGGAGGAGCATAATGATAGATGAGTGTCCAACTATCCCGTGTTTTTAGCGGGCGGATAGAAAGATTTCATTGTCTACAAATAGGATGGGATGGTTAGGGAACAGGCATTGCCATTTCGCTATAATGCAACATGATGCTTTGGAGTATCAAGATACAAGGATTAAACGTAGTTATGAAGTACAAATTGCTCATCAGCTTTTGGTGCGGGTATTGCTCGTCGCAGTAACTAATCTATGAAACCCTCCTCTCTCTCTTCGCTGGTTCCCTTTACCGGATCTTGTAGACGCAAGGCTTCAAGACAGAAGCTTCGTTAACTTCTGGCTGCTCATCAATGGGATCTATCCTGCGGATGATGCCCCTCTTACCCTTGGGGGCCTCCTGCTCCTTGACATGTTTTCCCTTTCTGGGCGATGCTCCTTTGATGAAGTGCATCTTGACAAACATCTTGTTGGATAGATCGATGGCCTCTCGATCTCCTTGAAGGACAAAACCGCGCGACCGGAGCACCTCGACGAACGCTGATACGTCTGTCTCCCGGCGGCGATCATCCATACCGTCGACCTCTACGGCCAGATCCTCATCATGCTCGGCATCGTTATCAGCACCCTTTTTGCCTTTCTTGCCGGCCATTGCGTTCTTCTTGCGATTGCCAACACTATGGGTCACAGGGGCGTTCTTATTTCGAATGGGACCAAAACGGCTCTTGATCTCAGCAACCCAGAGCTCACCCTTCCAGTGAAGAATACGGTAGGCCTCCTCGATGAAATCAACCCAGTTGGTGCCCATGAGAGCGAGGCAAAAGACAGCAACGTTGACGGAACCGTCAGCAAGAGGCAGGCTGGCGATGTCAGCCTTGGTGACGAGGGGACTTGGGCTCTGAAGGTCGTAGCTTTTGACGTTGACCTTAAGTTTCTTGCCATCTGATTGAAGAGCCTCCGCAAGACGAGCATCACCACAACCAAGATCAGCAATAGTACACTCCTGTTGCGTACGAGGTAGCGGTGTCTTAGCCAAAGGCGTAGGAGGAGCTCCAGGTCTGCCTTTGCCTTGTTGGCGAACCTTGCCGCGTGTGCGGATATCCTTGAGGAAGCTGTCGACAGGGTTCTCAGGCCAGACCTTGACCTGACGACGGAACCCTTCATGGTACTCGTCGAACATCTCGGGGGACTCATCGAAGAGATTGAAGGCCTCTTCGGAGGGACGGGTGTAGAGTGTCTCGTTGAGGTGGCGGAATCGTGCTGAGATGAGCTTCTCTCTCATAGAAGCTTGTAGGGGAGTGAGCTTGGGAGGAGCAGGAGGCAGAGGTGCTGTCTTTGCGACGACGTCCTTTTCTGGTGAAGGGGTGGTTTCTGTTGAGTCTTCGGTAGGCTTCTGTTTCTGCTTCTGCTTTTTGTCCTTCTTCTCCTTCTTGGGCTTAGGCTGCTCATCATCCTCACCCTCCTTCTTATCCTTCGTCTTCTCACCCTCCTTCAACTTCTCACCTTCACCATCCTTAGCCTTCTTCTGCTTCTTCTGCCTCTTAGAAGCTTGTTCAGACTTCGGCAGTTCAGTCTTCTTTCCCTCAATCACCGACTCCCAAAGATCGGCGACAGTTGAAGGTGTAACATTCTCAGTAGCGTTGTTGTTGCGCTTGCGCTTATTGGATTTTGTGCCGGGCGCGCTGTTGTTTTTGACAGGGGCTTCAGTTTTGAGGCCGTCTGCTGAGACGGACCATCCTGGAACAGCAAACATTTTTGATTGTATGTGATTAAATGTTTGTTGTGGTTGATGAGTTTGATGCGATGAAGTTCGCTTGATAAATTTCGTAGATCTGAATTTTTGCTAGAGGTACGTACCTGAAAGTATGGGCAGATCCGTCTATGGCCCGTGCACCTGTCAGATTTGGATGTTAACGAACCTCACTCAGTGTCATTCCGGCTTCAAGGACAACGACTTCTATTTTGAATACACAACTTTAGATACCCTCTATATTGGCTTCACAATGTTCTGTAACTCTGAGATAGTGGTTAGAATTGTGCATTCATCTATCGATAACAGCAAAACTTGCATTTTTACGACTGGGCATCCTCACCTGACAGGAGTATCAATACTCTCTTGTGAATCCCATCAAGTTTCTGCTTTTTTGAAGCATCGAAACGTTACTTTACTAACATATATCTTCAGAGATGTCTCATATCTTCATGTAAACATGGTGTTTTCCGAGCGGGATTCACTGTCCGTATCCCCGATGCTCAAGGTCCTCCACCCAAATTGGCGGAATGCGCGCTTGTGTAATGAGACAACATAATCCGCAGTTTCCATACGGTTTTGGGTTTTTGAAAGCTCATGGGTTGCTGGTTGGAGTTATTGGTAAGCCTGTAAAGGGGAATAATTCGAGTGGTGCGGTTGTATTTCAAGCTGACCAACAACACTTCAGCCAACCAATATCCTACGACACATCAATATCCATGGAACTTTGGTTTTGGTCTGGGTTAGAGTATGATAGTGAAAAGAGACCACGAAATCTTATTACGGATTGGCTCTTTCAACCTGACGCCTATTGTTGCGCACGAATCGCACCATCGACTGCATATTGTGTCCTTCGAGAAGGCGGCTATATGCAGATGTTGACTCGCAGCTGGTATCATTGCATTATTTAGTCACAGGACACAGTGAAAGAGCCTCAAGACACACATAGGGATGCCGAACCATCGTGGTTCGCCCTACGTCTGTGCCCTCGAATATTTCGATAAGTCCTTGAGTGAATGACATCCGACCTACGACTACGCCCAAGGACATGCAGTCTTATGAATGCACGATTCCGGTGACTTGTGACGAGCGAGCATCGCTCATCCCGGGTTCGTTTGTTAAATGCTTCATCTGAACACGAGACACATGCTCAAGTGGTATCGGAGTCGTGGTTCGCACTGATCAAGGTGGCGCTTGTCCACTTCGAAGATTTCACTAGGCAAAACAGTTTCATGCCGATAAATAGAAAACTGCCATGCCGTGACATCAAGCCTAGAACGATCTATTCCTGAGGCGCTCACAGCTAATGATAAAGGAAAGCTGATGTCGTGATGATACTGCAGGCCAACAGCGTGCTGTAATCTCTCGATCCGGTTGTTTGAATACTGAACTGAGGCACCATAGCACCTGCAAATTGTCCTTAAGGACTCTTGCGTAAGGCGAAGTACACATCCAAAGTTCGTACTCGTGGAACAAATACGCAGAGTATGAGGCACAGGTATACCCAACCGTAGGCCTCCAGAGACCTTTGTCGCCACGACGTTATTTACAGGCGCCTGTACAACGAATGTAACAGCGAGATAGAGACACTTCTCAACGCCGAATTTTACTCAGGAGTCTTAGACATGTCTCTATCGCTGCTCGTAGACAACTTTAGTCGATTTAGGGCGAGGACCTTCACGGTTCAACACCGAAGAAACGAAAGTCCAGCGCCGGGAATCACGGCATGATGACCATCAAGGATGAGCTTCCAATGGCGATCAGAGCCGGAATGAGACCAGACCTATAGATGATGCAGAGAACCTTGAGGCTACGCAAAGGCAGTGCGTTCTACTGTGCAATGATTAGTGTCGTACCTTGGTGAGAGACATAAGAGACTCTAGACAATAGACAAGACGGGAAACGAAGGGTGTGCAACGCCGTGCTCTGCTTGTGTCACACCAAGGTCCCTACCTTGGTTAGCTTATATTTGCGGCAAGAGTTGGCCCAGGATCACAAGGATTGGATTTTAATGGGTGTTGGTTACAATTGTACAGCGAACCCATAGCCTGGATGGGCTCAACAATCGAGAAATACGGGACATAATCGTTCACCGACCAACGGTTGGACTCACCTGACGGCTCAACGGGCTTGGTATCGGGAAAAGAGAGATGCTTAGACTGTTGGTGTTGTGTAACAAATATGGAGATGAAGTTGGTAATCGTATCCAATGTAATAAGGTTGGATTTCCGTTATGGCAGCCGTTCGTTCGGAGGCTTCGGCGGACGGGAAGAAAGGAACCGTCCGAGAAGAGTCCAACAGTAAAGTTAACGTTAGTCTAGAAGGAGGAGGAGGAGCTTAGAGATGAGATTACAGTACCAAGTTAAATTGCCCCTTTTTCAAGTCATCTCATAACAAGAGCTCTAGGGGGATGTCTGGGACGTGAGAGGGTGTGATGGAAGCAGCCAGGTCGTCATGGGAGCCTCATTTAGGGCTGGGAATGCCAAAATAAGAACAGGAAATGGCTGAGCTAGATACGATAGACTCAGCCTGTGCCGTAGGCTTCAATCGTAGATAAGACGTGAGCTGTCAATACGAAAAGATCTTGAAGTTGAGCTGAGATCGGAATTATCGGGCGTAATAAAGTTAAGAGTTGAAGCTAAACTTTGATTTCTTGATAATAGCGTCTTTTTGGCGTTGTTTCAACTCATGTCGTGGTTTACGTATTGTTCCTCCTCGGCAGCAAACTGCTTGATACCATTGAGTGCCGTCATTCTCTATAGTTAATGAAGTCACTTGTGATTAATTCGATATTGAGTGACAGATGCTGGTATTTACATCACTCTCCGTTCCAAGACGGGATTTGCACTAGACTAACTCAGTTCTGCAACTGCCAGGTTGTAGACATTAGAATCCACTCTCACGCTAATTTCAGAGACATTTGCTCTACCGGCGGTACTTATCTCTTGGAAGCAAAAGAGGGAACGGATGATGGATTTGGTGTCTTGGCTTTTTAGCGCCTGCATGTCAAGTCAAGCCAAGTTCCAGTGGACAGCATAGACTATGATGAAGCGGCAGTTTTCCCCTAAGCGCGGCTTTGAAACCCCTTCTCAGCATAATGCTACAGTACGGCACAGTACAGCAGTGTGTTTGGTATCGGTCGGCATCTGGGACATCTCACCCGGAACTTCGTGTCCTTGTTAGCCTCATAAGATGCTTGATCTGTTTGGTTCAATGATGATCCCTGTCATTTGCTAAAAAGCAAACTACCTCAGAAGAGAGATGCCGATGTTGATCACTTTGTCTGTGCCTGTGATTGCTGCAAGGACTTGGGTGGTTGCTATCAGAGATGGTTGATGCTCTTTCGAGTATGTGTACCACTGACATGATTTATTACAGATTTCTTTGTCAGTTCTTTTCGAGTGGTGCAACAGTGTCCTTTCTTTCTATTTTCAACTCGAGATATCATCATCACAGAAACAAGGTGGACTCGTCTTTTGCTGTGCCTCAAAGGTGCTTGTACATCATCCATCCTCGTCTATAAAAAGCAAGTTGATCATGATAGTCACCTAAAGAACCTAGGACTTTATGTTCGTTCATGTTCAGGCAAAAATCCTTTTGGTGTCTCTCCATTGCATCCATTGCTTCTCCTGGTGATACCCACCCTCATCCTTACCCTACCCTGACCCTAGAGTTGCTTGGACTCTGTTTTTCTGCCTCGGACTCATCAAATGCTCAGATCTAATTTTGATCTGGGGTAATAGAATTAGGAAGTTGCCGGCATTTCCACCGGGGCCCTCGGCACCTTTTTCTCTCCTCTCCACTGAGTCCACTCCATGGGTCTTAACACTTCTACGGCGACTGCGTTGTGCCCTGTTATTCTTTTACTCCGTGATAGGCTCATCAGTTGAATCAAAACACCTAACGCAGCTTACCAATACCGTAAACCGGGTTCTTGTATTTTAATCTAGAGCTGCCTATTATCTGATTGGACCCGGCATTCAGGATCACTGCACTGTGCAAGAAGACAAGTGCGCTATGAGACCTTAGTAGCCTGCCAATTTCGCCCAGACGCTATCACCCATCACCGGAAAGAGCCCCCTCACTACACGGGAGAACCACCACAAGCATCCATAAACCCCATTCATCCACTCCACCACCGTCCGACCTGGTTACCACATATAGTTATCCTATCTTTGACTTCTCTTTTCGTTTAAATCCAACTTGGCCCTAACAAGCTACTTTACTTTACTTTACTCTCTGTTGGCCTCGGTACGTTGGTGACTTATCTCCTCCAGCATCTCCGGCATCCGTGCTGCGCTGCCCTTCCTCGGCCCTTTCTCGTTCCTCACCAAATCACTTTACTACAAACTTGGACACTTTTGGGAAATCCTTATTTACTACAATCAAACCAACTGAACCCCTCTTTCTTCCCCGCGGCAAGAGGTAGATGATCCATCTGTCTGTCTCTTTGGCTATAAAAAGAACCTAAGGGAGATAAACCAGACAATATCTATTATAAGAGACAGCAGGTCAACTCAGACAGCATATCCTAAGCTCATTGTTCACCTCGCAGATGGGCAAGACAAAGCACTGAGCACAAGTTCGTCATCCTGGCCCGCAGTTGAAGTGAGTCCCTGTCGCCGGCCAGACTTCAACCCACAAGGGACCAGACCAGACCAGACCAGACAAGTTCTCGCTCCGACGGCCCAGTTGAATTGGCAAACCACCGACTCTCGAGTTACACAAGCATGTTTCAGTTGCTCCATTACTTGCCTCCAGAAGCTTCCCCATAAGTCAACTGATAGACGGCTCCAAGCCCTGGGCCGCTGTCTTGTTCTACGCTCTGCCTTCTCTTCTGGCTTTCTCTCCCGCAATCCTTGGCCGAACTACATCACTTCTTCTCCCCCTTGAGTCCATCCCATTGTATGCAACCTCCCGTTTTCTTCTCTCGATGTCCCAAGTCATACTTCTGCCCATTTATATCTCCCGTTTCAATCTGTAATTCAGTTCCATTCGCCATTTTCTTTCCTGACCGATTTGACTCTAACTTCTACCCAACAGCCCTAATACCACTTCAGTCGGCATTCCATTGTTCGTTCCTCTGCAAAATACAACCAGTGCCGTTCGATAATATGGCTTAAGATTCAAGCTTGAACCACACACCTTAACACTCACCAACGTCATGTAAAATTGCCACTCAACATAGAGATTTGTGCGGATCGAGAATTATTTGGAACCTATGTGCTGTGTCTTCTCCCCTCATCATGGAACAAGAAACTGGAACATCGTCTACGTCTGCGTCTGCGTCTGCGACTGCGAACCAAAAGGCTCCTGCAAACTCCAACCAGCAGGATGAATCAAGAGAAGAGACAGATCGCAAAAGGAATAATATTCGCAAAAGGACAAAGACCGGATGCTTAAGTGAGTCGATCGATCTCCCCCTTGAAAGTGTGACTCGAGAACAATGATGCTAATGCAAGCTTAACAACAGCTTGCCGCAAGCGTCGAATAAAATGCGACGAAGGAAGGCCGATATGCAATAACTGTATCAAGTCCAAACGCCATTGCGAGGGCTACAACCAACGTGTTATCTTCAAGGACCCTATGGGTGCGATACAAGGAGGCCCTTTTGGACCTGCTTATTATCCTCCTGGATCTACACACCTTGTCGGCCATTTACAAGCGAAGACCTCTCAGGGCCCATTGCCCATGATTGCTCCTAAGCCACCTTCCTTTGGTTATCATGGACACCAGCAAGCGCCCTACGGACATTATGTCCACGGACAAGGAGCCATGCCTCCAAATCCCTACGATTTCAACGCCCCAGCAGTGCCTTATCCATCTCACCAACCGAATGGTATGATGCCTCTTGAACCCCCGATGGGATATGCTAGGCCGCCACCTGACGCTCGACAACACTATGAGGGACCTCCTTTCAATGGACAAGATGGTCTTCCCTATGCGGGCAGTAGCCAGCCGGAACCTATTGCCATCAAGAGAGAAAGGATGGAGGAGCTGAACAACAGAATACCTGAACCTGACATCGACTATGACGACTATGAACTACCGGAGGATGATGCTTCGATGGGTGAATCAGACGATGAGGTTCAGGATCCTCGCCAAGTTCTTGGACCCGTCATGAAGCAGTTCAATGGAACATGGGACACAAATGGCACACGAGTCCGAACCTTTTCAACATTTGCCCAATGCAATATCCTCTCTGATTACACAGCTACAGCTCGAATAACGGAACTCAAGGATCCTGTAATGTTGCAAATCTTCATGCACTTTATTCAAGTCACCGGTCCAAGTATGTCGTTATACGAAAGGCATCCTTTTGATCATACTGGCGAGAACTCTTTCGACCCTACCCCGAAAGGGGCTAACAATCTTTGGAGTTGTAAGTCGTATATCGTCCATGCAATATGAATTCTGATACTAACCATGGTCAAGATACCTTCCCCGTCATATCCTTGAACCACCCCGCATTGCTTCACTCTATGCTTGCCTTGGGCGCCTTGCAAATAGCCAAGCTGCAAACCATACCGGCCACAGCTGCAATGAAACACTATCACTTGGCAATTCGCCGAATAGCTCGAAACGTCAACACACCCCTCAGACGAACACAACCAGCAACAGTAGCCGCGACACTGTTATTGTCATATTTTGAGGTTTGGTCTTCGGATCATACTAAATGGTGCAATCATCTTCTTGGAGCCAGAATCTTGTTCAGCGAAATACCCCTTAGAGAGATGTCAAGGAAATATTTGCCAGTCAAGCGTTACAAGCAGGCAGAAAAAGACGCCCAGAATCAGAACCAAATGGACAGCTTCTTCCCGGGTTTGAGTATCCCCTCTCAGAGCGAACTCAATGACCTGGATTACAGCCTGTTACAGGCAATTTCGGGCCAGCATATAACGGCAGAGGACTATGGACTTGGCGAAAAACAACCAATTGACCTATCTCATACGGTGACTGATAGAGATATCGAGCACTACGAAAATATCCGGGATTTATTCTGGTGGTATTGCAAAATGGATGTGTACCAAAGCATGCTGGCAGGCACCAGACTCTTGTAAGTTCCCATCGCATACAAGTTGCTAGATTTTGAGGCTTACTGTTACAGCATGACCTATGAGTCTTGGTCTCAGTGCCCACCTAGGGCACCAATCTCGAAACTTGAGGCTATGTAAGTGAGATGCAACGTGAATACGATTGTTGCTAACTCGTGGTTTCAAAGATATGGATCATATGATCATCTCATGCTTTTGCTTGGCAGGCTTGCAGACTTTTCCTCGAAAGATATTTCAAGAAAACGAAAAGCAAGTCTCGCTAGGGGGCCTCCTCCTGGGGCTGGGGGCAGCTCACCACCATCGTTCCCTGGTATCGTTCCTACGGATGGAAAGTTCCACGTACCAAGAGGATTTACACCACCCCGGGAGACATCACCGCAAAGTGACTCTACAGAGGATCAAGATGCAGACGCGAGTTACCAGGCTGCTCTTGAGGAGTGGGAGTCCATAAAGCGGGGCTTCGAAGCATATGAAAACAGCTTAGGACCAGAGTTTCAACCACTCAAGCCCGAGTTCTCAGATAAGCGAGACTCGCCGTTTGGAATGACGATGCAATATCGGACGTTTTCTGTTGCTGGAATCTGGATGAACTTTTATATGGGCATGATCAATCTTGTTCGATGTCACCCTTCGATGCCTCCTGCAGCGATGCAGGCAGCTGGCATGTCAGCACGACAGACAGGTCCATATTCGAACAAACTGGGCCGAATAGCGGCTGGCTTGTCGGAAGACGTCTCACAGGCCACAGAGATCACAACCCTTGTCAGTGCTGCGTTCATCGAGAGTTGCTTCTGCCTTTTTGTAGCAGCGATTGAGGTATGTTTACCAGCTACAAACCCTTGACAAGACAACTCACTAACACCTTCTTAGTATCAAGATGAGAAACAGCGGCATTGGGTGATACGTCACTTACGGGACATCACTCGATTGACAGGCTGGCAATCAGCAAAACGTATCGCCACCGGATGCGAATCCTCTTGGATCAAGGCTGCGCAGCTTGGTCGTGGTCCTCCTTACATGCGTGCCCCTGAGACCGAACCAGTGCCTGTTGCAAGGTGGCAGAATCCGCGACAGATCGATCGATTCATACACGAAGTCGAGACAGGCGAAGTTCGTCGTATCCAGATACCCAAAGCAGAACGGGCTTCACTTGCGTTGGGCCTACTCAGTGTTGAGCGAGATCTCGAATTTCTCGATCTTAAGGATGACAGTTAAAGCGATGTATAGCATGAACTGGCGTGTTATATAACATGGGTACCATGTTTCTGGAATTTCTTTTAATGCAGCGTGTGCTTCTTGATTAGTGCCTTGAATATCAAGTTCAGGTATCATTTAGCGATCTGGAAAATTGGAAAAAAAAGGGATGAAGCAATATTCACGAAATTCGTTTAACCTGAAGAAACCTTAGAAGTTTGGCGAAATCGCAGTTGGCGAGTGCCCCTACATTAATGATACATAATTCTGGCCTCTTCTTGTGAGGCTCTCGATGTTTTCATCAAAATCTCTCTGAAAACATCGCCTGATGAGCTAGTTGTGGTGGTTTGTGTGCTCGTCAATGACCCGAAAGTGGGTTTCTCTTGTGTCTATTCGTAATTTCTCTTGATTCATGAGTAACATCCTTAGTTGGCTGGCAGTCGCTCCACGACTGTGGCCATCTCCTCATCTGTGTATATTCTGAAGCCCTTCTCCTTGGTTACGCTGGCCAACTGCACGTTCTTGGCATCAAGCTTCTCCTCCATGACCTGCTTCAGTGTCTTGAGAACAAGAGTCTCTGCGTCTGTGAGCGTCAAAGACTATGAAAATGTCAGTTTTGCTGCCTTGAGAGAACCGTAGCCTTGTATATATGTACCTTGTGATATTCGTTCTGTAGCTCAGCCTGAGCGCCTTCGGAACCAGAGCCAATAGCCTTGGCATCGTAGCGGTAAAAGGTACCACTGGGCTCAGCATGGAAGAGTTGAGGACCATCCTCATCAAAACCGGCAATGAGCAGAGCCACACCAAAAGGACGACTCATAATAGTCTCCTCACCATCAGCACCCTCACCGAAACGTAGGGCAAGATCGCAGATGGCCTGGGTGCAGCTCTCGACACGGAGGGGCTCGTTGTAGTTGAAGGCGTGGGACTGGCTCTCGACACGGGCGTGCTCGACCATGGAGCGGGCATCGGCCTGAAGGCCTGACATGGCGCAGCCGATGTGGCGGTCGATCTCGACGATCTTCTCGACGGAGGAGGTCTCGAGGAGGGTCGACGTGACGCGCTTCTCGACGCCGAGGATGACTCCCTCGGATGTGGCTACGCCGATGGCCGTGGAGCCGAGCTTGATGGCCTCGAGAGAGTATTCGACCTGGAAGAGACGACCTTCGGGGGAGAAGGTGTTGATGCCTCGGTCTGGCGCAGACGTTAGTTGATGTTCTGAGCATGGAGAGCCTTCAGCTTCAAGGGAAGAAGGTGAACATGCCGTATTCAGATCTTGCCATAAACATCTTGGCGGTTTGTGTGTAGTGGTGATAGCTAGGCTAGAGAAGGGCGGAAGATTCCTAGTATATCAAGAGACCGAGTTCGTGAGTAGAACTGTCTAAGTCGATTTGACGAGTTGAATTCGTGGACGAGAATCGAATTGCCTGCTGAGTAGTCGAGAGTGGGAAGGCTGAAGGAGAGAGAGCAAGTCAATGGATGATGGGAGTGAGGATGTGAGCTCTGGTGGAGTTGCAGGCAAGCAGTCCGCCTACGTAGCCGCGCTGCACTAACGTTTGGAGCTGGAGCCTTCTGTAATTGCTTAGCCACAGTTTCACCGCCACAATTTGACATGACGATAATAAGGACTACTACTATGGTATAGCTACGATCTATCTATATCTTAGCAGATCTATTTCTGTCTATAGCTGTTAGACTACTATTAGGATTACTTGACAAAAAGATGTATGCTACATATTATACATAGTTTCATAGCATAAGAGCCTGCTTATACATATGCTATATTGTTTAGGTAGCTGTATGTACCCCACGTCGCGTCGGAACTCGTCGCGCAATTCGATTGGGCACAAACACTTACAGCTTCCCCAAATCAACAACCTCTAGCTAGGTACCTACCTCACTACAACTACAACCAAACTCTCTACCACAACCTCCATAAGAGAAACTCTCCTCAAAGCGTCTCTTTTCAGATGTAGCCCGGCCATACAATGGCTTCCGGCGCACCACGAGCATCGGGCCGAACCAGCGCCAACGACTATCGCGACGAAAGGCCCCGCGTATCGACCAACCTCAAGGGCGAGCGCTCCGATTCTCGCAAGGGTCCTCCTTCGACGACCCAGTCCACTTTCTCAAATGTTCATAAACGATCTGCTTCAGGGAACCCGAGGACATCGAGTCGCAATGAGGAGGAGCGGCGATTTGAGACGAGGAGGGTGACGGAGCGTACTTTTGAAGCTCACCTTGAGCGCGCAGTCCCAAGAAATTCAAGTCCAGAACGATCACATCGAAGAAATGCCCCTTCAGAGAGTAGGGCTACATCTAAAGCACCTAGACATGACACTCCTGAAGCTCGGCAGTCGAGAGCCGAGACTCCACAGGGTCTGTCTCTTCTCTCTAAATCAGCCTCAAGGCCCTGAAACTGACAGTTTGAAGCACCATGGAACCCCGAAGTAACCCTCCTACCGCATACAACAGCTCCCTTAGCCTCACGAATATCAATACCTCCTCTAGCGTCGACCGTACCTCAAGCTCCTCAACCACAACCTCTAGGCGAACTCAGTTTGGAGCTCCAAGAAGCTGCTATAGTGGAGGATCTACTCTTTGTATTCATGGGATACGAAGGACAGTACATCAGATTCGCTAAAGGATACAACCCGAACGAAGAGAGAGATAGATTATCTGGACCAAGCTTCAGAACGTTACCTGGCCTTGACCCGAGTCTGCAGGACCTGACACAGTCAATGCTCAAGATGGCAACATATTATTCTGCCCTAGAAGCTTTTGTCGATGTCCAGAGTCGGGAAGAGTTTGGTGCAGTAAACCACGCTCTTTGCGCATCAATACGCAAGTTCCTACATGACTATCTAGTCATGATTGCGCAGCTCGAAACGCAGTTCCTCACTAGCGACACATTCACTGTTCATGTACTCAACATTCATACCATGTCCACGAGCCAGATGATGCTCCAGCTGTACTCGCTTGCTCATGAACTACTAAAAAAGAACGCCTTACTTGACGATGAAACCGATGAATCTGAAGATAGTGCCGACGATTTCGAAAACATCCTCGAGACACTTCGAGACGGAGGCGAGTTGGTACCAGGCAACATGACAGGCAAGAAGATTTGCAAAGGCGGCGTGGTTCTGGGTTTAATCACAAAACGTCTCGAATCTTTATCAGGCGACCCTTCAGCTCGAGCGTTGTTAACCACATTATTGCGGGACGCCAGCAAACCTTACATGGTTATGCTCAACGAATGGCTTCATCATGGTGGAATCCATGATCCTCATGCCGAGTTCCTCATCAAGGAACAAAAGAGCATCAAACGCGAGAGACTGGAGCAAGATTACACTGATGAATATTGGGAGAGAAGATACACAATAAGGGATCATGATGTTCCCCCACAACTCGAGGGTGTCAAAGACAAGGTTCTATTAGCGGGCAAGTATCTCAACGTTGTCCGTGAGTGTGGTGGTGTCGATGTGAGCAAAGTCTCAAAAGACGTACCAGCTTCTTTCGACGACAACCGCTTCCTCGAAAACGTCAACAATGCTTACGCTCACGCCAACGAATCTCTCATGCAACTTCTTCTCACAGCCCATTCCCTACCTGCTCGTCTACGCTCCCTCAAGCACTACTTCTTCCTCGATCCCTCAGACTACTTCTCCTATTTCCTCGAGCTGGGCGCCTCAGAGTTGCGCAAACCCGTCAAGTCTGTTAACACCGGCAAGCTGCAATCTTTACTGGATCTTGTCCTGCGCCAGCCTGGAAGTCTTGTCTCTCTTGATCCGTTCAAGGAGGATGTCAAGGTTGAAATGAATGAGATTGTTCTCACAAAGGCTCTGCAGCGTGTTGTTAACATCACGGGTATCGAGCAGGGAGAGGCGCTACAGCCGGTTGCTAATCAGCCTATTGAGAATGATAAGAACGCTGTTGGCTTCACATCCCTGCAACTCGACTACTCCGTCCCTTTCCCCGTCTCACTCGTCATCAGTCGAAAGACAGTATGGCGATACCAAGCCCTCTTCCGCTATCTCCTTTCACTCCGCTATCTTGAATCGCAACTCTCAACTACATGGCAAACACAGACTCGGGGTATTAGTTGGGCACACAAGGGTGCTTTGCGAAAATTGGAGATCTGGAAGCGACGTGTTTGGACTCTTCGTGCACGTATGTTGGTATTTGTACAACAACTCCTCTACTTTTGTACGGCTGAAGTCATCGAACCGAACTGGAACAAGTTCATGTCTCGTCTAAAGACAAAAGATGAGCCTGTGGACTCGAGCTTAGGTGTACCAACACGGACTGTCGATGAGTTGATGCAGGATCATGTCGACTTTTTGGATACATGCCTCAAGGAGTGCATGCTCACCAACAGCAAGCTATTGAGGGTAAGCTCTTCTCATCCACCAGCCACTTCTCGTCCAGTATAGCTAACATCTTCCCCAGATCCATTCCAAACTCATGCAGACATGTACCATCTTCGCTGCCTACACAAACTGGCTCACTCGTGAGCTCGAAAAGTCAGACCCAGACCTATCAGGCAACACCAAGCCTCCCACCATGACAGCAGATCAATGGAAACGCTTTCAGATGACAAAGACGGTACAACGCGGTTCAACATCAGCTCATCACGATACCTCTGCCGCCTCGGCTGGTAACAGCGAGGTAGATGCTCGTATTGATAATCTGTTCGAGATCATTCGTAAATGGGAGGGCAATTTCAGTCGGCACCTGCAGATCTTGCTTGATGCACTGAATCACTATGCTGCAACTGAGACAGTGGTCTTGTTGAGTCTGTGTGCCCGCCTGAGTACTGCGAATCAGGGAACAGAATATGCTGGACTACGGCAGGAGGACGAGTCAACTTAAACTATAAGGCTTGTTGGACAAAAGTTGATAGCAAAGGGGCGTTATAGGGAACAGTAGATTGGGATCATTGTCAAAATAAGATACCACCAAACCATTCAACCCTGACATTCACCTGGTTATTCGCAGGGTCAGAGATCTACTGAAAAACTTCATTGATTGTCTATATCGTGAGGCCCCATTCCCATTGATCTCCCACTGAAAAGCCTATTCCCCCAGGTACGCCATGCAGCAAATCCCAGGGTTGTATTTTGTAGTACCGCATGCCACTCAACGCTTGCCATCCCATTCCAGCCCATGATCCCATAATGCAAAACAAGAAGAAGACCATCTCGTGAGAGCCAGGTGTATAGCCTTGCCCGAGAACGAAAAACAAAAAGTAACCCATGATACCTGAGCGCTCACGCCCAGGACGATGCTACTCGAGCCCGAAACGACTCACTTCCAGTGAGTTGAGAGAAGGCCTTGAGAAAAATGACTAAGTAAATAAGAAGAAACACACCGAAAACTCCTGTCTCATGCGGTCATTAATGTTCCAGTACCCGAAGGGACTGTACTTGTTCGTCACTCATTTGAAAAGACTACGCAGATCCATCAACTTTTGACGAGCTGCCTCCGCCTTGTCTAAGCTCCTGTTTTGGCCATCCATGCTCAAGCTGGCAAGCTTCATCTTCTTCTCCTGAAGCTCCAGCATCTTCTCTTCAAAACTGTCCCGCATGATGTATCGAACGGTGCGAACAGGGCGCTTCTGTCCCAGCCGATGAACACGGTCGATAGCCTGAGCCTCGGCGGCTGGGTTGTATTGCGGTTCCATCACGTATACGCTGTTTCCAGCAGTCAAGTTGAGACCCAGACCACCAGCCATAATTGACACCAAAATCACATGGACAGTGTTGTCCTCGCGGAATCTGTCCATGGCTGTAGTTCGCTGTGTGCGGCTCATACTACCATCGAGCCTGGTGAACACGATCTCGTTGGCATTAAGTGCAAGCTCAATAAGGTCCAGGTGAGAGGTCCAGCCTGAGAAAACCACTGACTTGAACGGAGGTTCAGACGGGTTTGCCTCGCTCGATGCCTTGGACTTTAGAAGGTCTTCGATCAGAGCGCGAGTCTTTGTATGCGGGCCGTCATACTTATCGAAATTCTTGACAGCATTTCGTGACTTGGGCTTGGCTGGGCCATCATGCTCCGCGTCCACCTCCCTTCGGTGAAGCTGTACGAAAGCATGTCTCACATAGGCATTGCAGACTGGACAATATCCACTGTTCTCGCCAGGTGCCGTAAGAGCCTTGACTCGTTCTTTAAACGTTTTGATGCAGTTTCGGCAAAGGACATGGAAACAGGGCGTCATGAAACCCAGAATATCATCTTGTCCCTCCGTTTCAATATTAGAACTCTCGTTGGAGCTAATCTTCCTGCTGCATTCAATGCATGCGTCGTTGTTGGTTTCTTGCATCAATGTAAACATCTCGTGTGCTTTCTGGTCAGAAAGCGCTGGCTTGTCGTCATCGTCATCATCATCAATATCAATTGCCATCTCTGCCGACATTCCCTGCAATGTATCCAGGTCGGCGTCATTGAGTAAATCCTTTCCATGCGCGCAGAGTAGCCGAAGTCGCAGGATTGCCTTGAGAATGTGGATATAGGTA